ATGTCTAGTTAACGTCCATCTCATACATAGTTACAAAATTTTTTTCTTGTGATGAGAACTTTTAAGGTTTACTCTCTTAGCAACTTTCGAATATGCAGTACTTATTAACTTATAGTCACCATACTGTGTGTTACATCACATGACTTATTTATTTTATAACTGAAAGTTAGTACCTTTGACTTCTTTCACCCATTTCACTCACCCCCACAGCCCAATGACCCGTGTGCTCATAAAAAGAGATGCTATACGCCTAAAACTAATACAATGTTATATGTGAATTACATCTCGGTGCAACTGAGGAAAAAAAAAAAGAAAAAGAAGGTATAGAGAAGGCCGGAAGGAGGCAGAGACTGGAGTCATACAGCCACAGCCAAGGAATGCCTGGGGCCACCAGAAGCTGGAAGAGGCCAGGAAGGGTCCGCGCCCAGACCCTTTGGAGAAAGCAGGGCCTCTGGCCTCCACACTGTTAGAGAATGCATATCTGTTGTTTTAAGCTACCAGATTTGTGGGGTGTGATATGGCGGTCCCGGGAAACAAATACACCACTTTAGACATCTCTCTTTCATCATGGCCATTTAAGCTCCAATGAGGACAGGGACTGAGTCCCTCTTTTCAGTGGTTAGGACACAGTGGATGCTTAATATATATATCAAATGATATGACATATCAATACCAGGGAGAAATTGTACCAACTCCACATTTCAGTGGTAGGTGAATGGTTTCCCCAATACTGTATAATGTTTATAAAGGGGTTCTATGTGAAGGCTGATGTAATGCACAAGAATTAACTTGTTTTGCAAGGTCTGTCTCTTTATTAGAAGGATAGTAATACAGGTGAGTGTAATACTGGGCTGGGGATAGGAGACTTGGCAGCTAGTCTAACTTTCTTCACTGCCTCATAAGCCTCAGGCAAGAGGGCTCACTTCTGTGGCTCAGTTTCCCAAGCCATGAAAAGAAAATCCTGTCTCCTTTCTGCCTACTCAGGAGCATCTGGGGGAGAAGGGGGTAGCCTGTAAAGTGCTCCAGCTTACCTAAGAGAAATGTGAAATGGCCCTATGTTATTTATTTCACTCTGTGGAAACTAAAGTTCTATTTCTGTTTCACTTTCTGTGTCAGGATTCTTCAACCATTCAGACAAGTATAAGACCAAAGATGCCCAGTTAATAATCATTATGTCCATTTTACAGATGAAGAAATTTAAGGCAGAAAAGGGTTATATGTTCAAGTCAGCAAAATAATTCACTGAGAGAACTCCAAAAAGATTCTGTGAGCCCAGAACAAAATGATTTTGTGGAACCATCTGTTCTCCAGCTGCAGAGATGTTTCTCTAAAGTGCAGTATTGTTGTCCCCCCCCCAAAAAGTGCATATTGTTGAAACCATTTTTACTGTAGCAGAGGTCAGTCAGGCAACCAAGATTCAGATAAGACCTGGATTAAGCATTCCAATGAAGAGATGGTTTTTCCTTCTACTTGTGAGTAGATTTGATGACCTGTCTACAACTTTGGCATATGCAAACTCAGGTCAAAAGATGATGGAGAGTTCCTTTGGTGTTTTAAGTCATGAAATTTAAGGAGGAGCCACAAAGAAGATGGATTACCTTGAATGGACGAATTACCTTGTGAAGCTGACCAGGGATAAACAACACAGCAAACCAGGTCCAAGCCATACTTTGGTTTGGCTCATATCTAAGCAACCAGAGTCATGCGCTAATCTAACGATGCAGCTCAACTCAGATGAGGGGTGGGTGGGGAGTGGGTGGAGAGATGGAAGGGCTGGAGATGAGACAAGAAAGGCAGAATGTGGAGAATTGTTAAAAATGGGTGATGGACACATGGGAGTTCATCACACTATTCTGTTTACTTCATGTATATTTGAAATTTTCCAAAATAAGAAATGGCTTAGTACAGCAAGTTGCTAACCAGCTTTGCAAAAAGGCTCATGTCATCTTCCATGACTTTTTTTTTTTTGAGATAATCTGTTACTAGAATAAAAATTGCAATCCTTCCATCCTGTTTTCTAAAGAATACACATGATACTGAAAAACCATTTATTCAGTAATTTTAAAAAGTTTAATAAAACTTTGCTGCTGCTTGAATTTGAGAAGGGTTCTGAAAATTATTTAATTCACTTACAGCACATTGTGAATTCAATAAAGTAATTTTTTGAAGGATTAAAAAGACAAACTCAGCAAACAGCCTCATTACATCATAAGCAAGTAGGTAAGCTGCAAGAAATTATCCCACATGTCTTGGGAATACTTTTTGACTCTGAAATACAAAATATTAGGCCGTTGATGATTATGTTAGCAACAGATCACATTTTCTTGAACTGCAATTGGTACAATTAGTACACAATTGAAAGATGCGTGTCATTATACAAAGTCTGAACTAGAGGAAAAAAATTTGATCACATAATGTGCCTCTTTTATTGAACAAGTATGATGTTAAAGCACAAAATACCTCTCAGTTTTCAGGACGTCCCAATTTCAAGCATTTAGCAATTGTGAACTCATGTGTACCCTATTTACTTCCTTATTTTTTTCAATATCATATTCCTTCTCTGTCTTTCAGAAGAAAGAATTCACTCAAACATTTATTGGGAGCTTGCTTTATGCTGGCGCAGAACAAGACAAGTCTTTCTCAAGAATTGCAGTTTTTAAACAGTCTCCGATACTTAAAATTTCTCCCCACCCTTGCTTGTCTTGTTTTAATTGCTTTTTGCTGGCCACACTCCAGCTGCATTAACTTTTTTTTTTTGGTTTCTGTTTCTCAGTATCTTCATTATTATCATGATTACAGTTCTATTGAGATATCATTCACATACAGTTCACTCATTTAAATTGTACAATTCAGTAGTTTTTAGTATATTTACAGAATTGGGCAGCCATCACCACAATAAATTTTAGAACATTTTCATTACCCCCCAAAAGAAACCCGGTACCCGTTGGCATTTTCCCCTAACCCCCTCCACCCTAAGCAACTACTACTCTACTTTCTGTCTCTCTGAATTTGCCTGTTCTGGACACTTCACAGGCATGGAATCATACAATATGTGGTCTTAGATTCTAACTGGCTTGTTTCACTTACCATGTTTTCAAGGTTCATCCATATTGTAGTAGTTATCAGTTTTTCATTCCTATTATGGCTAAATAATATTCCATTGTATGGACAGACCACATTTTATTTATCAATTCATCAAATAATGGACATTTCATGTGTTTCCAGTTTTTGACTATTATTATGAACATTCATTCATGGATAAGGTTTTTTGGTAGACATGTTTTCATTTCTCTTGGGTTTATATCTAGGAGGAGAATAGCTGGGTCATATGTTTAATGTTAATTTCTGAGTCATAGAGTTTAAAACTCTAAGTTTAACATTTTGAGGAACTGCTAGACTGTTTTCCAAAGGAGCTCCACCATTTTACAGTCCCACCAGCAATGTAACTAAGGTTCCAATATCTCCACATACTCAACAGTTTTTTTTATTGAAGTATAGTCAGTTTACAATGTTGTGTCAATTTCTGATGTACAGAATAATGTTTCAGTCATATACATACATATTTCATTTTCATATTCTTTATTATAGGTTACTACAAGATATTGAATATAGTTCCCTGTGCTATACATAAGAAACTTGTTATACATCTATATTATCTTTTCTATTTTAACCATCCTAGTGGGTGTGAAGTGGTATCTCATTGTAGTTTTAATTTGCATTTCCCTGATGGCTAATGATGTTGAGCATCTTTTCATGTGCTTATTCGTTAACTCTTGAGGTAGACCTGCCAGCTTCCTTTCTAATGAAGGAAAAATATGACTTTGTACCAGCAGCCAATTTTTATTGCGTTTCTTTGTGCCTCGATCATTAGAAGAATTAATACTTTCTCTTCCATTGAAGCCCAGCTGTTGCTCCAGCATGGTAAATAAAGACTTTTTTTTTCATTTTTCCAAAGAAGAAAATCCAGGGGAGAGGGTATAGCTCAAGTGGTAGAGTGTGTCCTTTCCATGCAGGAGGTCCTGCGTTCAATCCCCGGTACCTCCTCTAAAAACAAACAAGAAAATCCAAGACTACACTGGAGAAGTTATACAATCTGAGCAGTGCTTGAAGCAAGAAACATAAGCTAAAAAACAAATACTATTTCAGCCTAAGGAGGTGGAGTGGCTTTGTGTTTTAATCTGACATAGTACATACAAGAAATCTATTCAAAAGGAATAGCAATCTTAGGTCCTCATGAGAACTGAATTGGCATCTTCCTGTCTCTTTCTCCTTAAGTATTTTAAGTGCTGGTTAAGTTAGAGGGGACCTGAGGAATAAGTATAGGAAAACCAGCTGTCATCCAGTCAGGCTGAAGAAATCAGTACTTTAATTTACAATCAACTGCCCAAATAAAGTCAACTCGAAGGGCTCACCCTAATTCTCTCACTGTGCTAGGATTTAGTTATTTTGAACGTCGCTCTAAACAAGCAGCTGGCGTTTGAGAACCGTTGGTTCTTCAAGTGCTTTCAATAAAAACGTGTTTTAAAAGCCGCGTCCTTGCGTGCGCAGCTGCCACTACTCATTGGTCCCTCTAGAGAGACCTGAGGTCTTTACCGAGTGTGAGAGGCTTGAACGTCTGGGGAGGAAATCTGAGGCTCGGCTTTGACCGTTGTAACAAAAACCTTCCAACCAACCGGCGGTTACAAGTTTACCACGCCCCTTCCCGCCCTCACCTCCCGGGGAACTTGCCCACTCAGCCCTAAACCCAAATCTCTGCCGCACAGGATCCTCAGGGGACGCTGACTCCTATTTCAGCGACCAAAAGAAGAAAATCGCCTGGCGAGCACCTCCTGCCACCCCCGAGACCCGCCCATCGCCGCTTGGGGAGGGATGCAGTCTTCCTCCGCCTACCGGGCTGCGCCGGCGGCCCCGCCCCTTCCCCGCCACTTCATTGGCTTTGGTGACCGGCCCCCCGAGCGTCGGCTCCGGATTGGCCGTCTCGGCCGCCGCTCGTCTCTCTTCCCGGGGGCGCGCGGCAGGCGTGACCACGCCCCTTACGTCCGGACGCTAGGTCGCCTCGGGCGGCCCTGTAATCGCCGCCCAGAAAGAAGGAGGGCGGCTGTGCAAGGAGCTGCTATGGTGCTGAGTTCCCGGGCAGAGCCGACCCGGACGCGGCGGTCGCGGCCATGAAGGTGAGGGGCCGGTGGAGCCGGGCAGTCCCTCCTCGCCTCTCCTCTCCTGCCGGGTCGCCCGAAGTGCCTTTTTTTAGCCTCAGTGGTTACCCCGCCGGCACCTCGGAGAGCTCCGCGGAGGGGGTTCCTCGGCCGGCGTCTGGGGCCCTGACCGGCCCAGGGCTGATGTTCCTTGGCTCCCGGATGATTCCAACTCCCACGGCGCCTCCGTCAGCGAGCCCAAGGCCGGGGGAGAGGCCGGGCGCTCCCCCGCACTCACGCCTGCTGGGCCCCTCTCCGCGCCGGGCCCTGTCCGCGTCCTCGGGACCGGAGGCAGACCCAC